TCAAGAGATTTTCATGCCTCAGTCTCCCGAGTAGCTGGGATTACAGGCGTGCACCACCACACCCAGCTAATTCTTTGTATTTTTAGTAGAGACGGGGTTTTGCTATGTTGTCCAGGCTGGTCTCAAACTTCTGGCCTCAAATGATCCACCCACCTTGGCCTTCCAAAGTGCTGGAATTACAGGTGAGTGCCACTGTGCCAGACTGATCATGTAATCTTGAGATTTCAGCTGTCTTTCAGGTTCTCATGAAGCAGAACATGTCCAAAGAATTACAATTAGAGCTATAGCCTAACCTGAAGCCATTGGAATGTGTGATACACTTTTGTGATTGATTGTGGCTCTGTGAGAGGTTTGTCAGTGTAGTCATTTATTGATCATTTATTGATCTCTTATAATCAATGCTTTTAGACTCTGGAAGACTAAATCATAGCTGAATAACTAGAAAGACCACAGTGCTTTCCATTAGCTAACTTTAAAAAATATTGTGATCCGGCTGGGTGCAGTGGCTCATGCCTGCGGTAACAGCACTTTGGGAGGCTGAGGTGGGTGGATCACTAGGTCAGGAGTCAAGACCAGCCTGGCCAAGGTGGTGAAACCCCATCTCTACCAAAACTACAAAAACTAGCCAGGCGTAGTCGGCAACACCTGTAATAACAGCTACTCGGGATGCTGAGGCAGGAGAATGGCTTGAACCCAGGTGGCAGAGGTTACAGTGAGCTGAGATAGCACCACTGCACTCCAGCCTAAGCGACAAAGTGAGACTCCGTCTCAAAAAAAGAAAGAAATAGGGCCGGCTGAGGTGGTTTATGCCTGTAATCCTGGCACTTTGGGAGGCTGAGGTGAGCAGATCACGAGGTCAGGAGATTGAGACCATCCTAGCCAACATGGTGAAACCCTGTCTCTACTAAAAATACAAAAAAAATTAGCTGGTCATGTCATAGTGGCACATGCCTGTAGTCCCAGCTACTCGGGAAGCTGAGGCAGGAGAATCATGCGAACCCAGGAGGTGGAGGTTGCAGTGAGCTGAAATCGGGCCACTGCACTCCAACATGGCAACAGAGCAAGACTCCGTCAGTCAATCAGTCTGTTAATCAATCAATATTGTGACCTTTATGTTTTCAAATACAGTAACCAAATGGATGTATGACCTTGGGGCATGTCATCTTGTTATTTGCAAGGGGCCTTATATTGCTGTCTAAATGAGATACTCTTTAAGGTTTGATTCTGCTCCAAAATTATATAATTCTATTGAAAAATGTTTGTTACGGGCCGGGCGCGGTGGCTCAAGCCTGTAATCCCAGCACTTTGGGAGGCCGAGGCAGGTGGATCACGAGGTCAAGAGATCGAGACCATCCTGGTCAACATGGTGAAACCCCATCTCTACTAAAAATACAAAAAGTTAGCTGGGCATGGTGGCGCGTGCCTGTAATCCCAGCTACTCAGGAGGCTGAGGCAGGAGAATTGCCTAAACCCAGGACGCGGAGGTTGCGGTGAGCCGAGATCGCGCCATTGCACTCCAGCCTGGGTAACATGAGTGAAACTCCGTCTCAAAAAAAAAAAAAAAAAGAAAAGAAAAGAAAAAGAAAAATGTTTGCTAAAGATTTTTTTGTTTTTTTGTCACCCAGGCAGGAGTGCAGTGGTGCGATCTCAGCTCACTGCAACCTCCACCTCCCTGGTTCAAGTGATTCTCCTGCCTCACTCTCCTGAATAGCTGGGATTACAGGCGCTTGCCACTGTGCCTGGCTAATTTTTGTACTTTAGTATAGACAGGGTTTCGCCATGTTGGCCAGGCTGGTCTCGAACTCCTGACCTCAGGTGATCTGCCTGCCTTGGCCTCCCAAAGTGCTGGGATTACAGGTGTGAGCCACTGCACTCGGCTGCTAGAGATTTATTTTCTAAGTCATCTCCAAACATTTGTCTTATATATTCTTATCAAAATAAATTAATATCTTGTTACAAATATGTTTTATTTGTACCATACCTATATATTGTATAAAACAGACACAGAAATACATAAAGGGGGTAAGATTTTAAAAAACTCATTTGAATATAAGTATTAATATTATATTCCTGCTACCTGATGGATTATCATTTGCCCCTTTAGGATAAATGCCCATCCCAGTGAAGACTACTGATTAGAACTGAAAGTATTGCATTAGTTATGCTCGCTGTCTTTATTTGGGTTTTTCCTTTGTAGTGAAATCTTGGTTTCATTTTTTTTTTTTTTAATAGAGACGGGGTTTCACCATGTTGATCAGGCTGGTCTTGAACTCCTGACCTTGTGATCTACCCCCCTCGGCCTCCCAAGTGCTGGGATTACAGGCGTGAGCCACTGCGCCCAGCCCTATTTCAGCCTTTAAAGGACTTTGTCAATGAAAATGTTAAATCAAGGGACGAAGCACAGTGGCTCATACCTGTAATCCCAGTGCTTTGGGAGGCCAAGGTGAGAAGAGCTCTTGAAGCCAGTAGTTCAAGACCAAGACTGGGCAACGTATTTAGACCTTGTCTCTATATAAACTTTTAAAAAGTTAGTTGGGCATTGTGGTGGGAACCTGGAGTCCTAGCTATTTGGGAGGCTGAGGCAGGAAATCCCTTGAACTGAAGAGTTTGAGGTTACAGTGAGCTTTGTTTGTGCCACTGCATTCCAGCCTGAGCAGAACCAAGACTGTCCTGAGGGGAAAAAAAAAGTTAAATCTAAAGCAGATGATCCCATAAAGTTCTAACAGTAAATGTGGATTAAATATCATATCTGGATCAATCTTGTCTTTTATTGTCTTGTGAAATGGAGAACATATATGTAGATTTGAATTTAGAAGATTTCACTTAAAATTCTCATTCTGGCCGGGCATGGTGGCTCAGGCCTGTAATCCTAGCACTTTGGGAGGCCGAGGCAGGCGGATCACGAGGTCAGGAATTCGAGACAAGCCTGGCCAAGAGACCAGCCTGGCCAATATGGTGAAACCCTGTCTCTACTAAAAATACAAAAATCATCTGGGCGTGGTGATGGGTACCTGTAATCCCAGCTACTCTGGAGGCTGAGGCAGGAGAATTGCTTGAACCTGGGAGGTGGAGGTTGCAGTGAGCTAAGATTGTGCTGTTGCACTCAAGCCTGGGCAACAGAGTGAGACTTGGACTCAAAAAGAAAATTCTCATTCTACTCGGGAGGCTGAGGCAGGAGTATTTCTTGAACCTGGGAAGCTAAGGTTGGAGTGAGCCAAGATTGCAACACTGCACTCCATCCTGGGCAACAGAACAAGACCCCGTCTCAAAAAAAGAAAAAATGTACAATTTGGTGAGCTTTAGCATATCTTAATATCCATGAAACCATCAAGATTATGATGATATCCACCATCCCTAGAAGTTTCTTCCTACTGCTTTGTATTCCCTTTCTTATCCTCGTCTTGTATACATACCCTTCTATCCCCACTCAACTACTGATTTGCTGTCTCTATAAATTAGATTGCATTTTTAATAATTTTATATGAATGCTATAATCATATAGTCTCTTATTGATGAGTATTTATTGTATGGATATATCATGATTTGTTTATTTACCTATTGATAGACATTTGGATTGTTTCTAGCTTTTGGCTACTACAAATCAAGCTGCTATGGACATTTTGTGTGTAAGTCTTTGTGTGGACAAATGCTTTTTCTTTTCTTTTGGGTAAATACCTAGGTGGAATGACTGGGTCACCTGACAGGTTTTCTAGAGTAGTTGTATTATTTTACATTCACATCAACAGTGTATGAGAGTTCTAGTTTTCTACCTCCTTACCAACACTTGGTATGGCCAGTATTTTTTTTCATTTTAACCACTCTAAAATCACTGTTAGATCATTGTGAGTCTAATTTGCATTTCCCTAATGACTTTTTAAAATTTTGAGACAGGGTCTCACTCTGTCACCCAGGCTGCAGTGGTGTGATCTTGGCTCACTGCAGCCTCTGCCTCCCAGGCTTAGGCGATTCTCCCACCACAGCCTCCTGAATTGCTGGGACCATAGTGTTGCATCACCACACCTGGCTAATTTTTTTGTATGTTTTGTAGAGGTGGGATTTCGTTGTGTTGTCCAGGTTGGTCTCGAACTACTGGTCTCAAACAATCCTCCTGCCTTGGCCTCCCAAAATGCTGGGGTTACAGGTGTGAGCCACTGAGCCTGACCCTAATGACTTTTGTCACACATCTTTTCATATGCTTGTTTGGCATCCTTATATCTTTGATGAAGTGTCCAAATCTTTGTTATTAAAAAATAATTGTTTTCTTATTGTTGAGCTTTGAGACACGGTGTTGTGTTTATGTTTCTGATACATGCTTTGCAAAGATTTTCTCCCTAGGTTGTGCCTTCTCTTTATTATTCTCTTAATAGCGTATTTCTTTCTTTTTTATTTATTTATTTTTGAAATTTTATTTATTTATTTATTTATTTATTTATTTTGAGACGGAGTCTCATTTTGTAGCCTAGGCTGAAGTGCAGTAGTGTGAACTTGGCTTACTGCAACCTCTGCCTCCCAGGTTCAAGCAGTTCTGCCTCAGACTCCTGAATAGCTGGGAACAGGCACCCACCACCACACACGGCTATTTTTTGTATTTTCAGGTGAGATGGGGTTTCGCCATGTTGGCCAGGCTGGTCTCGAACTTGTAAACTCAAGTGATCTGCCTGCTTCGGCCTCCCAGAGTACTGGGATTATAGGCATGAGCTACCGCACTCAGCCTTAACAGCGTATTTCTAAGTATATAAATTCTTAATAAAGTTCAGTTTATTAACTTTTTCTTTTGTAGATTGTGCTTTTCCTGTTATATCTAAAAAAAAAATTGTCTAATCCAATACCACAAAGTTGTTCTGCTATGTTTTCTTCTAGAGATTGTATAGTTTTAGGTTTTACATTTAGGCCTATGATTCATTTGGAGTTAATTTGTATATATGGTGTGAGGGATGGATGGAAAGTTTTTTTAGATATAGATACAGGTATATCTAAAGAACTTTTAAAAAAAATCACTCATGCTTCCTTCAGCAGCACATACACTAAAATTGGAACAATACAGAGAAGGTTAGGATGGCCCCTGTGTAAGGATGACATGCAAATTCTTGAAGCATTCTATATTTTTCAGGGAGTCTCAGGCCAAGGAGATCATTGAAGAGTACTTCAAATGCAAGAAATGAACAGATAAATCTTTGGCTCAGAAAGAAAATTTAAAAAATCTTTGGCGCACAAAAAATAAAAATGAAAACACTCATATATATTTAGCTATAGATAGAAATCTAATAATATTATATAGATATATCTATAGCCATATATGAGTGATATTTTTAAAAAATTGCAGCACCATTTGTTGAAAAAAGCTATCCTTTCTCAACTGAATTGCCTTTGTGCCTTATGAGAATTAGCCATACATGTGAGTCTCATTTTGGATTTTGTTCTGTTTCATTGATCTATTTGTCTATTCTTATGCCAATACCACACTCTTATGTTGCGTTTTCAAACAAAATATAATACTATGAAAGCTATATTGCACATAAGAGACACAAAACAGAATAGTGGTTGCCAAGGGCTGGAGAACGGAGAATGGGGAGTTATTTTTTAGTGATTTCAGAGTTTCAGCTTCATAAGATGACAGAAGTTCTGTGGGTAGATATTCAAGTGGTAGCACAACAGTCTGAATACTTAATACCACAGAAATGTATACTTAAAAATGGTTCAGATGGCAAATTTTATATGTACTTTACCACCATTTTGAAAAAATAGTTTGAACCCCAAACTGTCTTTGTTTTATTATTATTATTATTTGTAGAGATGGGATCTTGCTATGGTTTTTTTGTTGTTGTTTTTGTTTGTTTTTCTTCCCAGAGATGAGGTCTTGATATATTGCCCAGGCTGGTCTCAAACTCCTGAGCTCAAGCAGTCCTCCTGCTTTGGCCTCCCAAAATGCTGGGATTACTGGCATAAGTCACTGGCATCCAGCTTAACCACCATTTTTTTTTTTTTTTTTTTAAGATGGAGTCCCGCTCTGCTGCCCAGGCTGGAGTGAATTGGCTTGATCTCAGCTCACTGCAGCCTCCAAATCCTGGGTTCAAGCGATTACCTTTCCTCAGCTTTCTGAGTAGCTGGGACTACAGGCCTGTGCCACCATGCCGGCTAATTTTTGGAATTTTAATAGAGACAGGGTTCCGCCATGCTGGCCAGGCTGGTCTCGAACTTCTGTCCTTGGGTGATCTACTCCCCTCAGCCTCCCAAAGTGGTAGGATTACAGGTGTGAGCCACTGCACCCAGCCTTTACCACCATATTTAAAAGAGCTGTTTTGTAGAATACCAGTACAAAATGGATAGTCAATTTCAGTTGACTGATTTCAGAAAATGAAACCCAGAGTGGTTATCTGGTAATTAATTGATGGGGCAGAGATTTGAAACTGTAGCCACGATGCCTGTTATTTCCCTCTGTTACTCAAATACCTCAGAATTGTAATACTTTTACCCAGCATGTTAAAGCTTGAGCTTTAAAATCTCCAGACTTAAGAAGTATTGTAAATCAGTCCTTTTAATAATAATGGCTAGCTAGTGCAGAAATGGAGGATAGTTTGAATTTATCCTTCCCCCTCCCTGCGTCATCCTTTTGCATGCTTATCCACTTCAGTTTCTTGAAAATTTCTAATCTAAAACCTCAAGACTTAAAGTTAACTCTACTCTTTTTTTTTTTTGTACTTTTATTGTGGTAAAGTATAATAGCAGAATTTGTAATCTTAACCTTTTCAGAGTCTACAATTTAGTGGCATAAAGTACATTCACATTGTTGTGCAACCGTCAACCCCATTCATCCATCCATCTCTAGAACTTTGTCATCTTCCCAAAGTGAAACTATGTACCCATTAAATACTAACTGCCCGTTCCCTTTTTTCTTTACGTTGTGGCACTGTCATTCTACCATCTGTCTCTATTAATTTGACTATTCCTAGGTACCCCAAATAAGTGAAATTGTACAGTATTTGTCTTGTTGTTACTGCCATTTTTCACTTAACATAGTATCCTCAAGATATATTCATGTTGAATCATGTGTCAGAGTTTTCTTCCCCTTTAAGACTGAATAATATTCTATTTTATGGATATACTACTTTTGTTCATTTATCTGTTCATGGACACTTGGGTTTCTTTCACCTTTTGAGTATTGTAAATAATGCTGCTATGAACACAGGTGTACAAATAATCTGTTCAAGATCCTGCTGTCACTTCTTTGGGATATGTACCAAGAAATGGAAATTGTTGGATTGTATGGTATTTCTGTTTAAGTTTTGGAGGAAACACCATACCGTTTTCCAAACCACTGCACTGTTTTACATATCTACCAGCAATGCACAGGGGTTCTGTTTCTCCACACCATTGATGTTGCTTGTTCTTTTCCGTTTTTTTTTTTTTTTTTTTTTTTGGAGACAGGGTATTGCTCTGTCACCCAGGCTGAAGTGCGATGGTGTGATCTTGGCTCATTGCAACCTCTGCCTCCTGGGTTCAAGTGATTTTCCTGCCTCAGCCTGCCCAGTAGCTGGAACTACAGGCATGCGCCACCATGCCCAGCTAATTTTTGTATTTTTTTCAGTAGAGGTGGGGTTTCACCATGTTGGCCAGGCTGGTCTCGAACTCCTGACCTCAGGTGATTCACCAATCTTGGCTTCCAAAGTGCCGGGATTACAGGTGTGAGCCACTGTGCCTGACCTCTTTTATTTTAGATAATAATCATCCTAATGGGTGTGAAGGCATATCTCATTGTGGTTTTGATTTACATTTCCCTAATTAGTGGTGTTTCACATCTTTTCATGTGCATATTGTCCATTTGTATATCTTCCTTGGAAAAATGTCTTTTTAATTCTTCTGACCAGTTTGAGACCAACCTGGCCAATATGGTGAAACCCCATCTCTACTAAAAATACAAAAATTAGCCGGGTGTGGTGGCTTGTACCTGTAGTCCTAGCTACTTGGGAGAGTGAGGCAGGAGAATCTCTTGAACCTGGGAGGTGGAGGTTGCAGGGAACTGAGGTGGCGCCACTGCACTACAGCCTGGGCAACAGAGCAAGACTCCATCTCTCAAAAAAAAAAAAAAAAAAAAAAAAGGAAAGAAAAGGCTGTCTTTTTCCCATTGAATGGTCTTGGCACCCTAGGTGAAAATCATTTTCATTTGATCACATATACAAGGATTTATTTCTTGGTTTTTCTAGTAGATTCAATTGGTCTGTATGGATAACTGTAGTAGTTAGGTTTTAAGATTAGATCATTAAAGGAATATATGAAAAATTTTATTGAACTGCAACAGTGATGAAAAGAATGTAAATTGAATAAACAAACTATTGTATTTCTTCTATTAAGCTGATCCTCAAAAATTATATTAAAATTATAATGTCTAATAATTATTACCGTTCCTCAGTCTGTCACTCTCTAACACCAATAATAAGAATGTCCGTTGGAACAGATGTCCTGGAGCAGAATTTGACACTATGTAAAGCCTTAAAAATTATGCACCCAGCAATTGCATTTATAGGACATTTTTCTAAGAAAATTGTCATGGATACATGGGAAAAGTTAGATATAGGAGTGCTCATTTTAGTGTTATGGGGTGCTCATCTTAATATTATATATAATAGTGCAAAGTTAGAAGCCATTATGTCTATAAATAAATAATTGGGTAATAAATTATATTCACACAAAGTTGGGCAGCCATAAAGATACTGACATTGAAGAAAACTTCACAATAAATGGAAAGATATAGAGCATGATTCTATTAAAATGTTCGGTTTAGGCATTAAAAAAACCCTCAAGCTTAATGTATTGCCTGTTAATAGTGGTCTGTTTCTGGGTGGTGGTATTATGGGTTATTAAATTTTTGGTTTTACATATATATTTAACAATGTTATGTTACTTTTATGACAAAACAGCAAAAGGCATTTTTTAAAAATGAAGATGAAACTAGAAAGCAGAGTTAAATCTAGTGGCAGAATCAGTATCTAAAAATAATCGTAGTAGGCTGAGATTGATGGACTGAATCCAGTGAAATTTAATCAGGATGGGTGAAAAACCTTTAGATAAGTAGAGTAATAAGTTAGTCATATTTCTGGCCTTGAAAAACCACTGATAACCAATATAGAAAATGAGGCAGGAGCATAGTGACAGCATATGTTAACGACTTAGGTGGTTTAATTTAGCCACTTAACTTTCTCGTTGTAAGCAGCCAGCTGTTCTCTACCCATTTCATTTCATCTCACCCTCAGCTTAGTCTCTTGATGGGAAACCTCCATCAAGAGGTGCTTCCTCATTACTGACATTTAAGTCTCTTCACTATTTACTCCCATCTGTTCTAGTCATCTAGTTGTCTATTCATCTTTTCTGAGTTTTTTTCAAGTTCTCTCTTTGGAGTCCTACTGTTTCCTCACTTTTGTTAATGCTTCAGAGATCCATCTCAAGTGCTGCCCTCTCCTGGAAGTCTACCTCTTGTAGTGCAGTGACATTTTACTGAAATGTGTAATTCTGGGAATTTCACATGTTGAGAAATTTAAGGCAAGGTTTCTTGCTTTATGTGCAAACTTTGAAATAATTCAAACCCCTCTCTATTAGAAAACATGTAACTTCCTATTGCCGTAGCACATACAGCTTTAAAAATAAACACTAGCTATATTTTGTCAGTTTTGTGTGACCCACCGCCATTCTGAAGTACGGGATATCTGTCAGTGCCATTGCTGGAAAACATTCCCCAGAAGCAGTCACTTTAGAATGGAAGTTAAATATTGTAAACTCTGGAAGAAGGCCAGATGATGACCATGACATAACTTGCTGCAAAATATTAAAGCTGATGCTGCGGGTGAGGGGGCAGAATTTAAAAGCACACTTAAAATAGTTGAATTGTGAAAAGGCATAAAGAAAGCATGGTGATTAAGTGTGGGCTGAGGAGCCAGATGGCTCTAGTTCAAATCCTGAATCCAACATTTACCTATTGGATGACTTCAGCCAAATAACACAATGTCTCATGTTTCCTCATTAAAAAAAAAAAAAATTCCCCAAAAGACAACTTGACAGTGGATCCTCATTTTTAAAATGGGCTGATAATAAATCACCTAGCTTATGGACCTGTGC